GGTTTCCGAGGAGCAACTAGTGACTTTGAACTGCCAACCTTGCAGTTCGAACTGACCTGGAAATACTGCACTTATCTTACAGCATCATTGGGAATTCTACCATGGAGCCACCACTGCCTCCTTGGATTATTTGATAACTTTATCTAAAAGATTTTTAAAAATTCTGCTTAAATCCCCAAGTATATGTCATAGCTAGTTGAAACATGCATGTAGATATACAGAGTCATGATTTCCAAAAAACCTTTACACAGAGTGTGAAAGGGGTACCTGACGGAAAAATTCCTCCATTAGCGCCATGGTCCATCGGTGGTGCAGCTGCCAGCATTTGGCTGGGTGACTGATGTCTGCTGCATGGAGAATCAGGGACATGGTCTTGGCTCTGTCAAGTCTGTCAAACAAAGATCCATCATGGTCAAATTATCAGAGCAAAGCAACCAGTTACATAGCCTTTTTAGCGCCCACAGAACTTCAACATGACAAAAGAAAATCACCTACCCTTCAGGCTGCTGCAAACTGTTTCTGATCGTTTTAATTTGCTGGAAGTGACCCGACATGTCTGTAGATAAAACCATTTCAATCACTAGGTTCCGAAGATCTCTGTGGAGTCAACCAAAGGAGAGGTATATTGGGCACTTAGTATGTTGAAGTGGAATGTTTCCTTAAATACCTCATTACGTTTTATTTTTCCAAATGGATGGGAATGCAAAAGATGCTGCTTTTAAAATAAAAAAAAAAAAGTTTTCAAAAGGCTAATCTGATTTTCTCCTATATCACAGAGATTTAGGTGATTACCAGGAGAATGTGAGAATGATGGTGTTTGACATCTCCCCTACATAATTAAGGGAGATAATTAAGGAATAATAATTACATAATTAAGGAATAATAAGGAGATCTGGTGCATAGTGATTACAAGTCTGGCTGCTAATCTCATGGTCAGCAGTTCAAAACTACCAGTGGTTCCATGGGAGAAAGATGAGGCTTTCTGCTTCTGTAAAGATTTACAGCCTCGGAAGCTCTATACAGAGTTGCTATGTGTCAGAACCTACTCCATGGCACATAACCACTACCACGTACATAATTAGATGCTTCCCCCTCTCACTCCCATTCTCCATCCCTGCTTGTAATTCACAAATATTGTTTTTCTATCAGAAAGGATCCTATGCCATTTTGAAGGAAAACTGTAAAAACAGCATTTAAATTATTTGAAGGAAAAAAAGCTGACTTGTGAGGCTTGAGACCATCCTGGATCTGCAAAGTCAACAACACTGCAAAGCTTACTGTCCACAGAGAGAGATAGGGACCAGAGAGGCATACATCCCCAAGACTCTCCTGATTCTTTCCTCGTTTTGTACCATTTCAATACAACTATGAAACAAAACTAAACACTCTCCTAACTAATCAACTATCTCATTATCTGACATTTTGTATTCGTAACAGTAGTAAAAAGTCTATTATCTGACTATATTTTACATTAATGATGTACATTTGGCAGTAGAAAACACTGAGGTGTGAGGCTCAAGTAAAGCTGGCTGTAATGGTTAAGGTTGTATGTTGACTTGACTGGGCTATGATTCTCCCGTGGTTTGGCAATTCTATAATGATATAGTTAGATAGTTAGACAATGATATAGTCATCCTCCTCCATTTGGTGAACTGATGTGGTCATCCTCCATCTTTTCATAATTCTGATTTTCACATAACAATCTGGCTTTTGGAATGTAGCCATGTTGGTAAGCGAGAAGTGGGTATATTCATTATACGGAACTCTAGGGAATCCTGGTGTGGCACTGTGGGCTAAAGCGCTCGACTGCAAAGTCTTTGGGCCTCACAGTCAGTGATTCAAGCTCACCAATTGCTCCTTGGAAACCCTATACAGGGTTGTATGAATTGGAACTGACTCTACAGCACTTAACAAGAACAACAACGGGGAGGCAATGGTTAAGTACTCAGTTGCTAACCTTTGAACACATCCAAAAGCTCAATGGAAAGATGAAATTAACAGAAAATGGATTTTTTTTCTACAAAAAATGCTCCTTCCCATTCCCTTCGATTAAATCCATATTCCCCAAACAATGGTTGCTAACAAGTGAGAACAATTCTATTCCAGACACTAAACTTTGGCTGACACCATCCTGGTAAAGCTTATAAAATATTCCAACATTTGCCCCCAATTAGAACACTCATTAAGAAGCTCTGGTAGCATA